AATAAACTCAACAATGACAGGCACTGCAAATGTACACTTTATATAAACACAACTTACCTGAGTATCAAACATCATCATTATCGTCCGCTCCTCATCCTTGCCTTGTGGCCAAGGAAATCCAGTGTAATGAGGGAAACTGAGGTAGTTGAGGGGGCTTGTCAAGTGCTTCTGCCCCTCAACCCTGCCTCAGATCAGACAGTGTAGGATGTAACCATGCATTGAGGTCACTTGAGATGACAGAGATCACCAACCTGTCAACAGATCACCCATGGTGTGCTGGAGTCACTTAATCCAAGGTGCCAATCCAAAGTGCCATCCACAGCCTTCCTCCAGCAGAAACAGTTGAAGATGGTCTACCTGAAGAGCTAACCCTAATATCTCAACAGAAGCTGAAAGCATATCAACCGACCAATAACCAACACCCGGAAAATGCAACATCAACACAACAAAAGCCAATGCAAATGATGGAATCCTGCAGGAAAGTAGTCATTTAAAGGGACAAAGACTTGCAGCCTATCTCCGAAGCCTTAGAATATCCACCATCGTGCAAAGATTACAGCATCTGTGCAAAAATTCAAAAATAATCAGCCATTCCTCATCATCTTTGGAAATCCATTGTGTGTGGTTTTTCTTCATGGGTTCTGCAAAGTGAACCCAAAGCTGAAGTCAGTGGCTGGTGACATCTGTCCTTGTCTCACCTTAAGGGTTGAGGAGGCATCTGATGAGAAGATGGGGGTGCATATGGAGGCTGATCACCCTTACAGAGGGAACGGAGGACCTGTGTGATCTTATTAGGGATAAAGATAGCAGTGTCAGTTTGCAGAACAAGGCAGCCGGCTTGTATGTGGCAAGGGAGGAGGAGGGGGCTTCTTGGTCAGGGGGTCTGTGGGTGATGGACAGGGACAGTGCAGGAATCCAAGTCCCCAGGTTAGGTGAAGACACATTGCTGTATAGCTACAAAGGCCATGCAAGCAGGGAGAGAGAGAGAGAGAGAGAGAGAGAGAGAGAGAGAGAGAGAGAGAGAGAGAGAGAGGAGAGGGAGGAGGGGGAAGAAGAGAGTCTCCTGCTAGCCAATGACAGCAGCACATCTGCACAATCCAATGGCTGAGATGTAGAATGAGATTTGCTCTTTGCAATTTGGACTACACTTCACAATCTAAATTCCACCAACACAGCGCGCTGCTTTCACCCTGCATAGCGCAACGCCTGTCTTATTTTACATGCAAAAAATTATTTTTTTTATTGCATGCCAAACAATGGCAGCTGGAGTGACAGTTTGGAAAGGGCAGGCACTAGGGAGTGCCCCGTTTAATTGCCTGTATTAAATGTCCTCCTCCTCCACCTCCTCTTTTCTTCAATAAACCAGCCATTTATGGCTTCAAACCACCCTAACCCCCCCCCCCTTCCTTGTACGAACACCCAGGGGTCCCAAATCCCAGTGCTGTAGAGGGGGCTGTCACTTTGAGCCTGGATGTTGCTGTGTGTTTGTATTATTAATAGACACTGGATGTATACAAGGCTGCTGACTGCAATCTATGCATATATATATATATAGCAGCCTGTCTGCCTCTGTCTTTTTCCTACATGGCCAGACAGGTGTACTACACTGATGACATAGGTCACTTTGTGAAAATGAACCCAGTCCTATGTATTACTGGGGTAGGGACATGACTGTATGTAATAAGGTATAGAGGTAATGGGGGTCTTCTAATGCTTTGTGAAGGTCAGCTCCACCCAGAACTGATATTTCAGTTTTTCTTGGCAGCCGGGGGGTTAAATCGGCCGACAGCATTCATTTTGGAGGACACAAGTGTCTTGGCTTGCAATGTACAATAATAATCACAAGAAAGATGTAGATTAGGCACGTTCACATCTATTTTACCAAAATGGAATGTACTACAAAAATCAATATGATCAAAATAGAAATAACAAAATCATTAGATGGTGACTTGAAAGCTTACAGGATTAGAAAGTGTTATATTAAGCGCTGTAAGTGTAAAAAATAATAAAGTACCTTTACCCACGGTTCACACTATTGCGGGCCACGTAGTCCGCTTTTGCTCGGGCACGGCAGCCCATTCATTTGAATGGGCTGCTGTGCCGCATTTTCCCACAGATATAAGGTGCATCAAGGGCGGACTGACCATTTGGAAACTTGGGCACTGCCCGAGGGCCTGGGATCAGTAGGGGGCCCCATGAGATGCCCCTAGTACCTTTTTCATAGGTTTTTCTGAGTTTGGGCAAGAACACGGGGCCCCATGATCCCCTATTGCCCGGGGGGCCCCATGAGTTGTCAGTCCGCCCCTGAGGTGCATGCACCTTTCTGAAAACATGGCCACAGGGAAATCGCAAAGTCTTTTTGACTGTGCAGTTTCCCTGCAGTTCCCCCAATCAGGTTATGATCTGAGATGTGTGGGGGCGCCATTCAGAATGAATGGCAGCACCACGTGTCTCGCAAGAGCAGCATGGTTTGGCTGCGGGTAACTGTGGGTGCGGGAACAGATGCGATCCCTGCACCCGCAACCAGCCCTAATCCCGAGGGCTAGTGTGAACTGAGCGTTAGAGAACACTAACACCTTACTGTAGTACAGGAAAAGCGCGTCCCGCCACCACCACCCTGAGAGCCGCGCGCGATTGCCAATTAATTTTTAATGGCACCCCAAACACATCTTGCAAATGCAGCGCGTTTGTGGCCACCAAACCACATGGTTATATAGTTAGTCTGGCTGAAAAAAGACAAAAGTCCATCCAGTTCAACCATTAAAAAAAAAAAGTTATAATCCTATACCCACAGTTGATCCAGAGGAAGGCAACAAAACCCAGCAAAGCATGACCCAATTTGCCCCTGCAGGGAAAAAAATTCCTTCCTGATCCCCAGAGAGGCAATCGGATATTCCCTGGATCAACTTTACCTATCATGCGCTTTTCATGTAGTGCGATCTTAAAATGCAGTGCCTGCACTACTTTTTCCGTGTTGCGGTACATTTGGCAGCCTAATGAAATGAATGGGCTGACAACACTGGAATGCATAAGACCACGTGGGACCACATGGGAACGTGTATGTTCCAGCGTGAATGGGCCCTTAGACTAGGTTCACATTGGTGCAATACGAGGCAATCGTGTGCGTTCCTGCAACAAGCATTCCTTTTGCAGATGTGTGACAGTGCCATTAATTCGCATTAAAATGCAGCTTGCTAACCTGCATAAAGTACTATGCCTTTTGTTTCAGCTTGAATTTTAAAAAAAGGTCTTTGCACTTTGGTGCGTTTTTTGTGCATAGGCAGCCCATTTATTTTGAATTGCAATGTGCAAAAAAGAAGCCTTAAAAACAAACCTTGGTTGAATGACATTTAGTTTTCCAAAAGCTCTGTGTGTCATAAACAAAAAAGATACAATTTTTCCTCTTTTTTTGTTGATCTCTGCTGATCTCATGCACCCCCTTTACAACCACTTCTTAACTACATGTACTCTGGAGAAGAACGCATGGTATTTTTCAGAACAGTGGACCATGCCTGTGTTAGGTTCGTTAAAACAGTCACTTCCATTAGAAGCCCGTATGACAGGGTGTGCCTGAATAAGACCCTTTATGGCAGGATCACCAGGTATAATAGTAATGAAAACTGCAGACATAAGAATAATTTTAAAAAATGAAATACATTTAGAAATGACATTAGAGCCCAATTGGACTTTCATTTAGAGGGTTGGTTCACACCAGATGCAGTCCAGTACGTTTCTGAATTCAAAATGCATGGACAGTAGGTTATATGGGTTCCAATGGCCTAGTTCATACCAGTGCAGTCGGTTCCGATGCATTCCAGAGCAGAAAAAAATAGAACATGCTGCATTTTTTCTGCACTAAACATTACTGGAACTCAGCAAAACGCATCAAAAATGCACTGGAATGCACATGTGCCTATTTAAGATGAAGAATAAAAGGGGGAAAGTGCACTAAAATGCATCAAACAGAAACGTATCCGGACTGTGTTTCTGTGGCATGAACTGGCCCTTAATCAGTTAAATACTGTACATTCCAGGTGCATCAAACCATAAGGTGCTCAAAGTCAAATCTACTGTGCAAGGGACCATTTGGAAACTTGGGCACTGCCCGAGGGCCCGGGGTCAGTAGGGGGCCCCATGAGATGCCCCTGGTACCTTTTTCATAGGCTTTTTTGAGTTTGGGCAAGGACACAGGGGCCCCATTAGTTGTCAGTCCGCTCCTGCAACTGTATGTGTTGTGTTAACACTGGCATTTTACTGTTTTTTTTCACACCACATTATACTGAGGGCTGGTTTACACCACAAAAACACACTCTAGATGAGTTCCAGATACATTTTTGCTTACAGTTCACACCACAAAAACTCACCCCAGCTGCATTCCTATGTGTAAGTTTTTGATGCGTTTTCAATGTGTTCCAGTACGCTTTTACCCCCCTTGTTTTTTTTTTTTTTCAAGGTTTCCTGTTTTTTTTTTTTTCCATGTATTGCATTCCGGTGCGTTTTTGAGTCGTGTGTATTCCGGTGCATTTTTTTTATGTGTTTTGCCATGTTTCATTACAGTTCTGTGCAGAAAAAAATACTGCATACTTTTTTTCTGCACGGGGAACACACTGGAATTGAATTCAATTCAACCGAAATTTGGAAAATTCAAAGTCGAATAAATGTAACGAATTTCGAAAATGAATTAAACAAATTTAACAAAACACAATTATTTAAATAACGAATCAAAATGAAAATAATGTTTATTTGAGCGTAATACATTCCCCAGTAATCTATTTGTTGCAGTTCCTACCCCAGTATTTACACCAGGGCTTAAAATTTCAAGTCTTGAGCTACTAGCCAGGCCTTAGAGTTACTCGCCACCAACAAACACACACACAGAGACACCTGTACACACACACAGACAGAAACATGTACACACACGCACAGAGACATGTACACGCACATACAGACACATGTATACACACACAGGTACGTACAGACACGCATACACACAGATACATGTACATCCACAGAAATACACACGCACAGACACATGTACATACATACACAGACACCTGTACACACAGACACATGTACGTACATACACACAAACACACATGTACATACACACACAAACACATGTACACACACACAGACACATGTACACACAAACACACATATACATATACGCAGACACATGTACAGATACACACATGTACATACAGACACATGTACAATTGTACATGCATACACAGACACACACAAACACACACACATGTACACGTACACCCCTCCCCCCATAAAAAGTTTCAGTACTTCGTTGTTCACTCACAGAGCCGGGTACTGCACTCTAGGGGGAGGCAGAGAGCACAGCACACACTCCTTCCTTTGCTTTCATTGCGCTCAGCTATTGAGCAGTCTGACGGCTCCCAGTGCCAATGACAGATCCAGCCTGAGCTCTGAGCCTGCTCAGCAAGACGGCCCTGGGGGACACACTTGCCCCACCATAACTTCCACTCGCCATTGGCGAGCAGGTGAGTGGAAATTTCAAGCCCTGAATTTACACTTTATATTTTACAATTGCTGCTGGCATGTGTTCTGCTTCCCTGAAATGCACAGGAAAGATTTACCAGTGGACACTGCAGTCTGGAGCCAGCTTGGAGAAAGGGGGGCAATGCAGGGGAGTGCCTTGCACACCTAGGCTATAGGGCTGTGTGTTTCTATTGATATGCATAGTGCAGGGAGGAGCAAACTCTAGTCCCTGCTTGCAAGGGTGACTCCATAGGATGCTGCAGGAGAAAAGAGCTACCTTGAAACAGGAAACCTGGGGCAGCAGTCATGACACCAGCTTCATCTGGAACCTTTGTTTTCAAGTTTCTAATCTAAGGAAGATTGTACAATCAGGGGTGTTGCATGTTATGAAGACCCCTGTCAAAGTGTACCTGAAATATAAAATAAAGAGTGCCAGTTGGCCTTATCATATCATATTTTTATCAGAAGAACATTACAGCCCTGCGTTAACATGCAGCAAAATCCACAATGTAATGTACTTTACAATAACACATTATATATGTATACATGGCAAAAATTTTTAAAAATCTGCGATACGCAATGCACAGAAATGAATGCTCTGTGCATTGCTGTGTCCTGTATTGCCTGTGTGCATGAAGTTTGTAAACTTCCTCTGTGAAGAACCCCACACATTTATGTCCTTGAATCCTGTAAGACCTATTCACTATGCCTTGTGATAGGCACTGCTGTGTCACACATTTCACAGAGCCTGCCTTCTGAACCACAGAGATGCTGAGAGGAGGAGTTTCAGGAGGAATCACTGCCAGGTACCATGGGAGATGTAGTCTTTAGACATGGAAATTAAACAGAAGAAGAAAAGCTGCAAAGCATGCTAGGAATCCAGTAAGTGTTTGCACTGACTATAGAACTCCTTTAAAGCGGAACTTCACCCAAAAGGAGAAATTACACTTATTTGCACCCTCCCCACTCCACTGCCACATTTTATGGGGGGGGGGGGGGGGGGAACGAGCACCTGGTTTTGACAGGCACCCGCTCCCACTTCTGGGTTAGATTGCTATGGCAATCTGAACTGGAACTTTCCCCCCTCTTCCCCCGCAGCCTATTGGGACATTTCACAGCTCCCAGGAGACTGCAGGACCATTCTCAAAGCACAGTGAGCTTCGCACATGCACAGAAAGAACCCGGCTGTGAAGCGGCATCTTCAGTGTGGGTACCCGGCTGTGACAACTTGCGGCTTCACAGCTGGGTGCCCACTGCGCATGCACGAGAAGTGCTGCACTTTGTGATTGGCCCTGTAGTCTTCTAGGACCTGTCATGTGTCCCAGAAGACTACAAGGAGGGAAGGGGGAGGACAATTTCCACTTCCGATTGCCTAGTTGCTCGCAGCGGAAGTGGGAGCTGGTACCTGTCAAATTCGAGTACCCGCTCCCCAAAGGTGCCAATCCTTAATGGGGAGCGGGGGATATAGGCTTAAAGCGGAACTTCCCCTTTTGGGTGAAGCTCTGTTATAAGATGCAGGAACCTGCACCTGAAGCCAATTGAAGAATCGACACAGGTGAGGCCATTGCTGGACCCCTGGATAGGTAAGTGTCCTTATATTAAAATTCAGCAGCTGCAGTATTTGTCGCTGTTGACCTTTAGAGCTCCTTCACGCCATGGTGCAGAGACGTCCATTTTTCTTCATGCATTCTGCAAGGGCACAACAAAATCAATTGTTATCTATGTGCCCTGTTCACACCACAACAGTATCACGTGCAGATTTTATCTGTGCAGGAATCAACTTGTACAAAACTCATTGAAGCGTGCAGGAAAACTGATGTAAACTGATATCTCTGCAAGTGAAATCTGCATGTCAGTTTCCATCAGTGTTTCTGCACGTATGGTATGAATGAGGCCTTCATTTTTTGGGGGGTCTTGGAGCTCCTCATTAACAGAAAGGTGTGAAAGGGCCTATTCAAGGGAATATGCAATGTACCCCATAACAGCAAATTATAATTCTCCTGATGTCAGACCTGAACAAGACAGATTCTGATTTGTAGCATAGGCGCTGCTCTTTAAATTTAGCACTTTGTTACTTACACTGTTTTAGGTCCCTTTCACATAGGTAGACTCAGGGCTTTCTTTCTGCCGGAACGCGGCGGTACTGCGTTCCGCCACCTTTTTCTTCTTGTCCCCGCTCACCGACAGCGAAAGTGACAGGTGCCGGACGCGGCTTGTTTATGTCATGCTTGCGCGTGCCCGGCACCTGTCACTGCCGCTGCTCACAGCCGGTGAGCGGGGACATGCACGCTTCACCCCCCCCCCCCCCCCTCTACCGCCAGCGTGTAAACATCGGGGGCGCGCGGCCACCCCCATAGGAAAGGTGTATCTTAGTACACCCGGCGGTGCGCGCTGACGTCATCACGCCCTCTGCTCGTCGATCCTACCATAGCGCGGATCGTCAGCATCAGGTAAGGAGCGGCGATACAATTTTTCTCGCTTTTCTTGCTAATGTGGGGGGGGGCAGTGGTACTCGCTATTCTTACTAATGTGGGGGGGGGGGGGGGGCGGGTGTTAATTCCATACATTTACTTTTATAGCCCCTCCCAAATTTTACTTGCATTCCTGTTCTCTAAAGGGGTGGTCCTAGGGTTTGATGGGGGCGTGGCCAGGTTTGGGTGGGGGAGTTCCACCACCTTTCCTCTGAGAAAAAAAAGCCCTGGGTAGACTCCATCAAGAGGATCCGCCTGCTCAGTGGGGGATTTGGCCGCTGATCCCCCGCTGAGCAGGTGGATGACAGGTCTGTGTCGGTTCCACTTGTGCAGAGCAGATATGGACACAGCCCGCTGTCCTCTATGGGGCTGTCAGCTGGAAACGGGCCACCTGTCCGTTTACACCCAACGGCCATCCAATCATATCCACTAAATGGATGGATCCCCATCCATCTGTTTTTAGCGGATAGGATCGGATGTCAGACAATGGAGGGTCCAATTGGGTCAGCCTAAAAAACTGACAGGCGGACTAGATCTGTCTGCCTGTGTGAAAGGGGCCTTATTGTTCCATAACTTCCTCCTGCAGAACCTGTTTCAATTTAGGGCCCATTTAGATCTATGTTTTGTTGCATAGGGCAGGTGCAATGTCATCTGTCAATGCGTGTTTCCTTTGATACGTTTTCAATTTCTTGAATTTAGAACTTGGAGTGGATAGGGTTAACAGTCATTGACCAAGGCTTTTTTTTTTATACCTATTACCCAGCATCTTATATGCTTTTTGATGTGTTGCCATTGGCTTCTATGGGCCAAGGCTTTTTTATACCTATTACCAAGCACGTTATACTGTATACTTTTTGATGTGTTGCCATTGGCTTCTATTGGCCAAGAATTTTTTATACCTATTTACCCAGCGTGTTAAATGCATTTTGATGTGTTGTCATTGGCTTCTATGGGCCAAGGCTTTTTTGTATTTCAATGGTTTTTATTAATTTTAAACAGTATAAAACAGAGGCAACAAAACACACCCACGCAGGGGCTATCAATTGCACCAATAAAAAAGGCATAATAGAGCAGACAACGCTCTAATTCCAATAAGGCAAAACGTATGCCCACGCAGGGGCTATCAATGGCACATAGGTTACAATAACATCAGTAAGACTCTGACTATCGCAACTAAAGACAGTTGTCCACTGTCACATCAAAACAAACAGAAAAGGAGAGAAGAAAAAGCAGAAAAGAAAGGGAAAAAAAAAAAAAAAAAAAAAAAAAAAACAAAGAGCAGGGGTCCACGAGCGCCAATACCAAACTCCATTACCTCCCCACACTGGCCGGGGGGAGCGTGGGAAAGGCGTATTGCAACCACGGCTCCCATACTTTCAAAAATTTATGTTGAGAGTCGTTGCATATACTCGACATCTGTTCGTTGAGCATCATAGTAGTCATACGATCCCGCACCCCCTGGAAATGTACAAACGGACTCTTCCAGGCCTGAGCAATTGTTCTAGTAGCCGATAAAAACAAATAGGAAGCCAACCGCTGCTGACGAGCCAAGAGGCCCGGTATGGGGCAATGAAGCAAAGCATACCGAGCATCCCGGCGTATGGAGAGATGGAACAAAGTGAAAAGGAGGCCAAACACACGAGACCAAAAACGAACAAACCTCGGGCATGACCACCAGATATGCAGTACATCGCCACGATGGCCACAACCCCGAAAACATCGATCACTACAGGCAGGGTTAGCCTGGGCCAGACGAGCCGGAACCCAGTACCAACGGAACAATACCTTGTAGGCTGCTTCCAGCGTGGTCGTATTAAATGAACATTTAGCTATGAGTGACCAGGCCCTACTCCAGTCCTCCGGATCCACAGCCACTCCCAGGTCGCGTTCCCACTGAACAACATATGAAAGAGAAGTGTGAGACGAGCGTCTGTTCAAAGCTGCGTAAAGAAGGGAGGTAAGGCCCGGGGCGCCCAGGTGCTGCTGGCAAAGCCGTTCAAAGGCAGATTTCTGATATGGGAAAGCAGAAGTGGCTCTCAGCGAAAGTAGCCAGTGCCGCAATTGAAGGTACCGAAAAAATTCCGCTGGGGGAACATCCCGAGACTCCCGAAGGACATTCCAGGCGGGAAAGGACCGAAAAATCAAAAAGTGTTGCACCTGTGAGAAACCATGAGCCACCCACCAAGAAAATGCCCTCGGGCAATCTAGACCCGGTGGGAAAAGAGGGTTGTTAACGATTGGAAGCAAGGGCAAAAAGGGTGACATGAGGCCACTGGAGTAACGTACCGAGTCCCAGACTTGTAGGCCATGGAGCAACATCGGACTCAGCGCCATAGGGCGCAGGGCAGGGGGAAGCCATAGGAGTGTCGACAGTGCAATAGGGGCACAATTAGGTAGTTCCAGCAGGACCCAGAGAGGAACATCGGAGGAAGCGTGCAATATAGACAGCGGGGCAATCTGGCTCGCCTGATAATACTTAGCTACGTTGGGTACCCCAAGACCACCCTGGAGTCTATGAGCAAAGAGCGTATTTCTAGAGACTCTGGGGTGTTTA